AGCTAATATGAGAACAATCACCTAAGTAGAATGTTTACCTCTGAAATTAGGGCTATATTTTTCTAAGGCTGTTTATGTTAGAGTGTTGCATTCTATATATTCTTGCTAGCTTCCCCTTAAGAATATAATAGGTGTAAAAAAGTAAACTAACAAAAAATAAGACCTACATTGAGTGCAATGTTTTTATAATACTGCTTGGCATGTGAGTGCTGAGAGAGAGAGAGAGAGAGAGAGAGAGAGAGAGAGAGAGAGAGAGAGAGGCAGAAAGAGTAAGGTATGGAAAGGCAGTCAGGGAGGCAAAGATACAACGTACAGAGACAGATAAAGAAAGAAAGACATGAGGAGAGAGAGATAGCAAAATAAAAATAGTGAAACAGTGAGACAGAGGGACAAAGACAGAAACAGACATAAGTAGAAAAACACAAAGAGAGACTGATAGAGACTGAGAATGACAGAGACACTGAAAGAAACAGAGTGCATGAGAGACAAATAAAAGTGACAAAAGATAGAGAAAAAAAGATTAAAATACAGGGTGACAGATGGAGACAGAGTTGTGGGAAAGGAAGGGACAAACAGAGACAGAGACAGAAATACAGAGAAAGAGAAAAAGAGAATATAAAAGAGCAAATGAGATGCTTATGATACATTCATTAAAAAGTTATTTTGTTTTTCTTCAGTCACCTGTTTCTTACCTTCCTATTTTCCGAGAAGCTGTTTCAAAGAACCTGGTCCTGGAAGCCACCCTGTAAACAGAAGCCAACCAAGTCCCATGAATTGATTTGGAATTTCTATGAGAACTAATGGCCAATGAAAGAACAAGAAAATATGAACCAGATGGGCCATCAATGCCAGGGTCTGCCTTACCTTACAAAGAACTTGGGTCTGAGGGAAAAACCCAAATATGAGAATGTGAAATGGTTCAGGGATAATAGGCACCCTCAGTTCTATGGTTGATATCTCTTGCTACCTGTTGGTTCAGAATGGTCTAAGTACGTTGCCCATTCAGGCTATTCTTGGGAGAAATAAGTGAAACAAGTCCTACGTTTCAAAGTATAATGTTTGGCATTGTGTAAATACACTTAGCTAATTAGTCAAAATGGCGAAAGCTTTTAAAAAATTGGTTCCATGCCCTGGCTGGTGTGGCTCAGTTGGTCGTGCTGCAATGAAGGTCACCAGTTCGATTCCTCGTCAGGGCACATGACTGAGTTGCAGGTTCAATCCCCAGTAGGGGGCGTGCAGGAGGCAGCCAATTGATGTTTCTCTCTCACATCAATGCTTCTCTCTCTTTTTCTCTCCCTTCTCTTCTCTCTAATATCAATAAAAACATATTAAAAATAAATAAAATAAAAATTGCCTGATTTTACAATTATGGAAAACAAGAGAGACAAAAAAAGAAACACCAGGAGGAAATATCCTGAGAGGGGTCTCAGGCAATGACTGAGGAGAGGCCAGCCAGTTTGGCTATGGAAGCTTTACCTCTGGCTCCTTGGTTTGCAGCCCAGCCTCAGGTAATGTGTGGGACATCAGCTCAGCTCATACCCTGCAAGAGGTTCTCTGGAGAAGCTGAGTCATTTTGGAAGATTTTTTAAAAGTCATGCCTCGCTTTAAAAAAAAAGCACCTCAAGGCATAAGTACAATGAATGAATCTGTTCATTAAATTACTTTTAAAACCAGTAGCAATAACAAGAAAAAAAGAAAAATTCCAGAGCCAAGGGAGCATGAAAACAGAAGGTAATCTTACCACCCATCAGACATCAATATAGCTAGAAACAATGGTTCTCTTATTAGGCACTAAGGTTCAAGCTCGTCAGCTTTGGGGAAATCTCTCAGCCTTCAGTGTAGAGTAGAACACTGAACAGAGCTGGTCTGTGCATTTCCCTAGACTATGAAGTGAATGAGGCCTAGGATTGTGCACTGTACACCCTTCAAAACCATAATGGTAATCCTGAAAGCCTTCCTGGTGGCCTAAGTTTGGCCTGAGGTCAAGGATGAAGAATAACCCCACTTACACAGATGATGGGATTTCCCCTGCATTGCCAACTACAATATCTGGCTTTGTTTTCTGGGGAGTAGCTGCCCGGCAGAAAGGATCTGGAGGTCTCACTGGGGGACGGATGATGGTTGGCTTTTCTCCTGGAGGCCACACTTTGCTGAAACTGTCAGAGTCTCCTGGAAGAAAAAAACAATATAAAAAACTTTGATGGTTATCCAAATGGAATATAAAAAACTTTGATGGTTATCCAAACGGAAAACTACACAATACCAAAGCTATCTAGGCCATCTCCTTTGGCATCATTTCTCTTTGGTCACTAACAACTCTGGATTTTTGTTTCTTTATAATTCTTCCAGCAGTTATATATGGAGGCACCTGTGTTTGAAAATCAGCTCTGAAGTTTGTATTTTTGTGACCTAGGGCCGTGGTCAGCAAACTGCGGCTGGTGAGCCACATGCGGCTCTTTGGCCCCTTGAGTGTGGCTCTTCCTAAACCTTAGGAGTACCCTAATTAAGTTAATAACAATGTACCTACCTATATAGTTTAAGTTTAAAAAATTTGGTTCTCAAAAGAAATTTCAATCGTTATACTGTTGATATTTGGCTCTGTTGACTAATGAGTTTGCCGACCACTGACCTAGGGTATTCACAACAATTTTCTGAGTCTCAGTTTCCTTATATGTATAATTAATACCAATAATATAGTATTTTACAAAGATATTGAGATATTTTAATTACATACTATATGTTTAGTACAGTGCCAGGCACACAGTAGGTGCTTAGTCAATGTTTGATGATAAATTTCAATTTGTTAAATTCATCATCATCAAAACTCAAGCTTTTTTCACTTAGGTCTTGACTCTTGTATCAGCCTCTTAACTTGCCTTCCTACCTCTGTCTCCAGTTTCCAGGTCAGTCTGTAGAAAATAAATATACATAATTTTTTAAAATGTTCTTATTGATTTCAAAGAGGAAGGGAGAGGGAGAGAGAGATAGAAACATCAATGATGAGAGAGAATCATTGGTTGCCTCCCGCACACACACACCCCCAATAGGGATCAAGCCCACAACCCAGGCACATGCCCTTGACCAGAATTGAACCCGGTACCCTTCAGTATGCAGGCCAATGCTCTATCCACTGAGCCAAACCAGCCAGGGCTAAATATACATAATTTTTATAAGACGTTTCTGGCAAAAGTATGGTAAAATGGATGCACTTACAAATATTTGGTGGCACTGTACACCGGGCTTATTCTATCTTGCAGCAGTGTGGATGAAATGCAAAATCATATAGGTGAGACATTTCATACTTAGTGATCAAGTTGATCCACTTTGGGGATAAGATCCAAAGGAATTTAACCCAAAGAAAAGAAATTAAAACAACAACAATCCTCATGCACTGCTGGTGAGAATACAGAGTGTTGTAGCCACTGTGGAAAACAGTATGGCATTTTCTCAAAAAATTAAAAATGAAACTCCCATTTGACCCAGTAATCCCACTTCTAGGAATGCATCCCAAGAAAACAGAAACACCAATCAGCAAGTATATATGCACCCTTATGTTCATAGTAGCACAATTTACAATAGCTAAGATTTGGAAACAGCCCAAGTGCCCATCAGCAGATGAGTGGTACATCTACACAATGGAATACTATGCTGCTATAAAAAGAAAGAGCTCTAAACATTCACAACAGCATGGATAGTCCTGGAGAGCATTATGCTAAGCGAAATAAGCCAGATGGAGAAAGGTAAATATCACATGATGTCACTCATTTGTAGAATATAATGAACAAGATAAACTGATGAACAAAAATAGATCCAGAGCTATAGAAGCATCCAACAGACCATCAAACCTCAGAGGGAAGTCAGGGAAGGGTAAGGGGGTTAGAGATCAACCAAAGGACTTGTATGCATGAATATAAGCATAACCAAAGGACACAGACAGTAGGAGGACGGGGATATGGGCTGGGCAGCGGAAGCGGCCAAGAGAGGTCAATTGGGGGGGGGGGGGGAATGGGAAGAGACATATGTAATACTGTCAACAATAAAGAATTTAAATTTAAAAAAAGAAAAGAAAACAATCGGAAGAATACATGTTTCTTAACAGCAAAAAGTCAGACCCAAACAAATGAGTCAATGCTTACAAGCATTTAACCAAAACGTGTTATGTATGAACTGACAAGGACTTGGGCCAGATAAAAAAATATATGCATATCTACGCTAATAAAAGAGAAACATGCAAATTGGTGTCACTCCGCTACGCCCACCAGCCAATCAGGATGAGTATGCAAATTAACCCAGCAAAGATGGTGGTTAATTTGCATATGCAGGCACAGGGCGAAGACTGAAGGCTCCGCCCAAGCGAAGACTGAAGACGACTGAAGACTGAAGAGGCTTGGCTTCTCCGTGCTGTTCAGAGCAGAGAAGCCTCCAGGCTTGGCTTTTCCACTGCGGTTGGAGCGAAGGCCTGGGTTCCAGGTGCTGGAGGAAAACTGGAGCCGGCAGCCAGGGGAAGGAAGGCCTATTGCACGAATCTCTTCATGCAATGGGCCTCTAGTAAAATAATATAAGTAAAAAATGTCCACAAAAATAATCATGGCCTGATGGACACAATATGGAAATAGACACATGCACAACTATGCAAGGGTGTTAGATCTTTATATTCATTAAGATTTCCTCTATAAAAAATTTAAGGTAAATGTAAAAATATTAACTTTAATATTTTAATACTGTTATAAGATTTACCCTAAGTATTTTTACAGTTTTTCTCCTCCTTAAAGATCTTCCCAGTGACTATGTACAGAATAAAGTTCAAATTCCTTAACATAAATTCAAGGCCCCCTGATTTAGTCTCGAATTATCATCCCAGGCACTAATTCTAGACTATAACTACAGAGAATATGGAGTTGGGTAGACATGTCTTTGAGGCCATGTTCTGCTACTTCCAAGCTCTGGGACCCTGGGCAGTTATTTCACCTCTTTGAGTATAAATTTCTTCACCTGGGAAGTGGGTATAATAATCCCTCCTCACAAGATGATTGTAAATACTAAATTAGGTAGCCAATAGAGAATGCCTAGCATACATCAGGAGTAAGTAAGTGTCACACTCTGTCCTGCTTCTTGTTTGATACATGCTCCTATTCTCATCTCTTAACTGTATTGTAACCATTCCTCAACACTCAGCTCAAATCTTAGCTCTCTGAACACTCCACCTGGCATAGCTAATTCCCATCCATGTAAACACTCATGAAGTGCTATATATTGTCATATGGGTTTTTTAGTCCCTCCAGCTAGCCATTCTAATGAGGGAGACATATATGAAAAGAAACAATAATAATAAAGTGTGATTGATATCCTAGTGGAGGAATGAAACAGGTACTATTCACATACACACATACAAATTCTGTCTCCCCATCTAGACTGTGTCTTACATTTCTGGACAAGCTATTATCCTTAGCATCAAGCTAGGTACTCTGAAAAAAAATGACCCAAATAGTAATCTAATTTTTCTAACTTACTTTATACCACTCAAAGCACTCTCCCAGAAAACTATTTGGTGTTCACAATAAGCTTGGAAGGAAAGAACAGACGGATCTTACTTACTGTCTCCATTTTAAAAAGAAAGAAACTGAATTCAGTTGATGTGGCTCAGTGGTAGAGCGTCAACCTATGAACCAGGAGATCTCAGTTCGATTCGTGGTCAGGGCACATGCCCCAGTTGTGGGCTCCATCCCCACTGTGGGGCATGCATAAGGCAGCCAATTGATGATTCTCTCTCATCACTGATGCTCTTATCTCTCTCTCCCACTCCCTCTCTGAAATCAATAAAAATATATTTTTTAAAAAAGAAGGAATCTGAGGTTTGGAAAGGTGAACTGACTCACCCACAATCACATATGTAAGCGGTAGAGTGATGATTGGAAGCCCTATCTCCTATATCTGCATCCACTGTTCTTCCCAGTGTCTGCTGTTTTATTATTATCTATATACTAGAAGCCTGGTGTTCAGCAGACATCATAGCAACCTATTGTTCAGTTGTTACACCATTCGGTCTATTTGCATAATAGGGTTTTATATCCTATATAATAAAGAGGTAATATGCCAATTGACCATCATGCCCTCGCACAAGATGGCTGCCCCCATGTGGTCAAAGATGGCCGCCCCCATATAATCACAAGATGGCCACCACAAGATGGCCAGCAGGGGAGGGCATTTGTGGGCCATCAGGCCAGCAGGGGAGGCCAATGGGGGGGGACCAGGCCCGCAGGGGAGGGCAGTTAGGGGCGACCAGGCTGGCAGGGGAGGGCAGTTGGGGGGGACCAGGCCTGCAGGGGAGGGCAGTTGGGGGCAACCAGGCCTACAAGAGAAGGCAGTTGGGGGCGACCAGGCTGGCAGGGGAGGGCAGTTGGGCATCGATCAGGCTGGCAGGGGAGTGGTTAGGGGTGATCAGGCTGGCAGGCAGAAGCGGTTAGGGGCAATCAGGCAAGCAAGCAGGTGAGCGGTTGGGAGTCAGCAGTCCACCAGGGGCATGCACAGAACATTGGCAGCAGGCAGCAGAGCATGGAACATGGCAGGTGTCGGCTGTGGCAGGATGGTGGAGCAGGTGAGCAGGGGTACCAGACCAAGGTGCAACACCAGTCACTGTCATCTGGGCAAGCCTCTGGTGGTTACTGAAAATTCTTTGCTCCCATGCCCCATGGTCCTGCCCAGCGCTTGCACCTGCTGCTGGCACGGGCCCTGCTCGCACCCGCTGCCAGTGCCAGAGCTTCCGCTCTCACCCGCTGCCGGTGCCCGGTGCTGGTCCTGATAGCTTGGCACCATCAGCGGGTGTGAGCGGTGGCTGCTGGCCCCAATTGCCCCTGAACGCTTCTCCACCTCCCCTTGCTACTGAGGGGTAATCAGGGCAGCAGCCTCTGGTCACACCCACTGATGGTACCAGCCCCCCCTTGCACCTGCTGCTGGTGCCAGCCCCAATCGCTCCACTGTCAGTGGGTGTGAGCAGGGCTGGTGCTGCCAGCGCATGGATGTGGCAGCAGGCAGAGAGGGGACCGGGGCTGTGGTGGGAGGAGCTGGGTGGGAGCATGGAGGAGGGGCCGAGACCCGCCCCTGTGCCCACCACAACCTTGCGGCCCACAGTTCCTTTCAAGGTGCACGAATTCGTGCACTGGGCCCCTAGT